TGAAAGTTACATGATGACAAACAGTTAAGAATATATTTACTGAAAAGCTACGTGATGACAAACAGTTAGGAATATATTTACTGAAAAGCTACGTGAAGAGATACAGGAATGTAGATATTTAATGAAAGTTACGTGATGAGAAACAGTTAGAAATGTAGATATTTACTGAAAAGTTACGTGATAAGAAATATAGGTATTTACTGAAACGTTACGTGATGAGAAACAGGAATGTAGATATTTAATGAAAAGTTACATGATGAGAAACAGTTAGGAATGTAGATATTTACTGAAAAGTTACGTGATAAGAAACATAGTGAGAAATATAGTTATTTACAGAAAGTTACATTGTGACAAACAGTTAGGAATATAGATATTTACTGAAAAGTTACGTGATGGCAAACAGTTAGGAATATAGATATTTGCTGAAAAGTTACGTGATGACAAACAGTTAGGAATATGGATATTTACTGAAAAGTTACGTGATGACAAACAGTTAGGAATATATTTACTGAAAAGCTACGTGATGAGAAACAGGAATGTAGATATTTACTGAAAAGTTACGTGATGAGAAAGAGTTAGGAATATAGATATTTACTGAAAGTTACGTGATGAGATACAGGAATGTAGTTATTTAATGAAAGTTACGTGATGAGATACAGGAATGTAGTTATATGAAAGTTACGTGATGAGAAACAGTTAGGAATGTAGATATTTACTGAAAAGTTACGTGATAAGAAATATAGGTATTTACTGAAACGTTACGTGATGAGAAACAGGAATGTAGATATTTAATGAAAACTTACGTGATGAGAAACAGTTAGGAATGTAGATATTTAGTGAAAAGTTACGTGATAAGAAACATAGTGAGAAATATAGGTATTTACAGAAAAGTTACATGATGACAAACAGTTAGGAATATATTTACTGAAAAGCTACGTGATGACAAACAGTTAGGAATATATTTACTGAAAAGTTACGTGATGAGAAACAAGAATGTAGATATTTACCGAAAAGTTTCGTGATGAGAAACAGTTTAGAATATACAGATTTATTTAAAATGTTTGAGAAACGCAGTTCTACTGAAGGACTACGTGATGAGAAAGTAACATAGTAACAAAGTGAAATCATGTTTGATTAATTTAAGTAAATGTTGTTGTTTTTAAGGGACTTTCTCTCGTCGAAATTTTACATTAATCTTTGTCAGGACTTTCGAGTAGTTTTATACTTGGGTTTGTAACATCAATTAGGTGGTATTAAAAATTATTTTAAAATGTTAGATTTAAAATGGGTGCCCAATAACATTATATATAAATTGACTTGTCTATTGCAGAAATATAGTATTTTAGTTAAGAATGCTTTGTTGAGCAATTTACGTGTGGCTCACGATGCTAACAAAGATGGCCGTTACGAAACCTTCTTCGACTATCACAGAAATACAAGATTAATAACATTAAATACATGTTGATGTTGTGTACGGGTGACGAACTATAAAAACACAATGTGGAATGGTGGTGTTGTGTAGCGAATGCATGAATTCGATTTCCGGTAGGAACAGGAAAGAAAAACGTAGCTTTGAAAACATGCAAGCTATAAAGTAGAGAAGGGATTGGTTTGGTTTGGTTTGAATTTCGCGCAAAGCTACACGAGAACTATTTAGCAGTGAAACACTAGAGAGAAGGCAGCTAGTCATCACCACCCACCGCCAACGTTTGAGCTACTCTTTACCAACGAATAGTTGGATTGACCGTCACGTTATAACACCCTCACGGCTGAAAGGGCGAGCATGTTTGGTGGGACGGGGTTTCGAACTCGCGATCCTCAGATAGCGAGTCGAGCACCCTAACCACCTGGCCATGCCAGGACTAAGTAGAGTAGGGAGAAGATAATGTAATTCTGGTAAAGAAAATAATATAAAGTATGGCTAGTTTGTAATTAAGCACAAAGCTATACAATGGGCTACCTGTGCTCTGCCCACCACGTTGTAAGTCCGCAGACATACTGCTGTGCCACTGAGGGGCGATAAAAAAATGCACAAAAGGGATCTGGGGGAATTAGAAAATAACACAGTAACATCCAAAAAAATGAGTAAAGCTTGATATTTAACACTTTCTTTAAAAGCTAAAATCGAGAATTAAAACATTTTGGATCGAAATTATAATTACTGATGGCATCTTGTGAATTCTAAATTTATCATAAGCTCAACACTGAATTTTGATTTCTCATAACTTCAAAGTCTGTTAACCATCCTTCATTTATATTCGCCTTTAAAGGCTGTCTTGATATTTAATACAACGATAAGTCTGAACTAGGGTTAGTCACGCAGCATGATGTTTTTTTTAGTAACTAGAAGATTTTTTATTTGTAAAACGTTCACTAATCATAGTTTGTTGGTTTGTAATCACCCAATTCTTAATTTACTAATAAATAATTTTAACAACATACCAACTAGTTTACTGAGAATTCGTTTAACACGCGGATGATCAGTTGGTTTTAACACAACTAGTACTTAATGTTGTGATTTTGTAGGTTTAAAAATGTTCTTACCATCGGAAGAGGCTTTTTCTGTTTTCTTCAGATTAACAGACTGCAGCTGTTCTTTTGTAATGCTGAAGACTGGCTTATTCGTGGCGCCTAAGGTTTCTTGTAAGATGTCCCTCTTCTTTTTCTCCTCAGCCCAACTCTCTTGATTTCCAGAGTGGTTAGAAACTTCAATATCGTTTTTTTTGGTAAATGGAACGTCGACTTTTTCAACAATTTCAACGTTTTTTGCAAAATCTTCTATTGTTTTTGTCTGGATATTAGTTCTTGATTTTGCAGTATTTATCTTGATAATGTTTTCGTTCGATGACACACTATGTTTCTTTGTCATTAAACTCGACGGAAAAGGTTTTTTATCAACTGTCTTTAGAAATTCTGAAGGTTTGAGGTTAGTGTCTAATCCAACGGGAAAATTAAATTGAGTCGGATCAAAGTAGCTTGAAACAGGTCTGTTTGATGGAGGCGTGTGTTTGCCATTGAGATGTTCTACACATTGACTCTTTTCACCATCTAGCGATTTTGTTTCACTAGGCAAAACACCATCAGAGCCTTGAGACGAGCCGGAAGATCGTAGAATTTCTGGATGAGTCTTCTTTTGGATAATTTTATCTATTTGTGGCTGTTCTATGGAACTGAAAGAGCTGTTGCTACTTCCAGATTGTTTTCTTGATGAAATGCCACTTACGTTTTTCTCTGACAAAGAAAGAGGAGGCGGAGGAGACACCATCTTTTGTGGGCAATTTTCTATTGAACATCTTCTAATTTCTTCTTCTTTTTTCTTGTCAGAGTAGCTTTTAATTTCAACAACAAATGGCTTTGCTGTGAAATTTTTCAATCCGTTAGCTTTCATTTTGCTGATTTCTTCAAAGAGATTTCTTATCTGATCAACCTTCTCATTAGGAGCTATTGAAGAACCAGTTTCACAAGTAATATCTGGAATTTCTCTGACGAAAGCTTCTAGAACTTCTGGATTTTCGTCAAGTCTACTTCTCTCAACAATTAGCGCCGGATATTCAAAACTTGAATTATTTTCTGATCTTGAGGATTCTAGTTTGTCAAGCTCTGCTGGATATTCGGAGTTATCTAGTCCTGCTGGTTCCCCTTCGTTTTGTTCTATCTCCTTGTCTTCGCTCCTGGTATAAACTTCTGGCAAGATATGGGTGCGGATTACGCAAGTTGGTTGGTTGATCTTGGTATTTACGACGTGAAGTTTTTCTTCGGATTTATCGTTACGTTTCTGTTTATTACAATCTGTCACCTGACTGGTGTTATTGGACAATTTCATGCAATTATCGGAAATTATTTTGCGTGCATCAGCTGTCAGGGTAAAATATATAAAAATTAAAGTATATAATGAATGTGAACCAGTAACAAACGATATTGACAATTTTACAATGATGACCACATGATACCGATCAATGTTACATAAAAACATTATGTTAGACCACAATGAAAAATAAACATGCAATGTGTGAAGAACAAAATACACTGGAATTCAAGATGATAATAATGCCATCAAAACAAGATGTGTATTAATAAAGACATCTTGAGGTACATAATAATAATACCTCCAACAGATACATGCCAACCACACATCAACAATGACATTCTGCCCACATCTCAACAGATACATGCCAACTACACATCAACAATGACATTCTGCCCACATCTCAACAGATACATGCTGACCACCCTTCAACAGATATGGTGACTACACTTCAACAAATACATGCTGACCACATCTCAACAGATACATGCCGACTACATCTCAGTAGTGACATGCTGATCACATCTCAACAGATACATGCTGACCACCCTTCAACAGATATGGTGACTACACTTCAACAAATACATGCTGACCACATCTCAACAGATACATGCCGACTACATCTCAGTAGTGACATGCTGATCACACCTCAACAGATACATGCTGACCATACCTCAACAGATACATGCTGACCATACCTCAACAGATACATGCTGACCACACATCAACAATGACATTCTGCCCACCCTTCAACAGATATGCTGACTACACTTCAACAAATACATGCTGACCACATCTCAACGGATACATGCTGACTACACCTCAATGGATACATGCTGACCACACATCAACAATGACATTCTGCCCACCCTTCAACAGATACATGCTGACCACCCTTCAACAGATATGGTGACTACACTTCAACAAATACATGCTGACTACACCTCAATGGATACATGCTGACCACATTTCAACCAATTATACATACTGACCACACAACGTAAATCATACATGCGGAGATCAATGTATTTTATTATGTTATCTAGTATAGACTTAAGCCTAATTTTGATCCTTAGCTTCCATCCCAGCCCTAAAATAGGTTGTCCAGGTTTCAGCAAATACAGCTTAGATATGACGTTCTGAAATTAGTGGCGCACGCTACAGCTTCAGTTGCACTTAAATTAAAAATACGCATAATCTAAAATTAGTTTTTCATACACATGCGCAAAGTTCATGTATTCGGACCTTCACTTCCTTTTTTAACTGTTATAAGTTTTCTCCGTAAACGAAAACTAGATGTGACTTTTTAAATTAATCATTTTGCATAAGAAATTCTTGTTCTACATAAGTTTTGTATACAACGTGTCGGGGTATACCCTT